GTAACCTCTAAAGCAGGGGAAGGCAACCTCACCTCTCCAGCTCATTAGGCATTGCAAGACTCTGCCAGCCACAGCCATGACTCCCAGAGGCTGATACGTGATGGGATTTGAAGTTTCACCACAGCTTGAGGTGCCGGAGTTTGCCTACCCCCGCCATACAGGAACCTGTAAAATGATAATAGATCAATTACACTTTAAGACGCCCTTTTCTCTCTGCAGCCTTGGAACTTGACCTGGCAGCCCAGCAGCATGAGATTTGCTAAGGATATAAAAACACATTCAGCTGCTATTAAAGGTCAACTCCAGACAAAATGGAGGGGGGGGCATAGTCTGGGCGTGCACTAATGAGAAGCTGGCCCCCCCATCCCTGGAAACCCCAATGGCAGATTTTTCAGGCGATCGTTTCTGCCCCTTTCTACAAAACCATCTTACGCTTTCATATCTGGGTGAGCTGGTGTACATCACAGAGACGCCATCGGGGTGTGACGCCATTAATTGGGGGAAGATTTCTCCTCGGCTTTCACTGGGACAGGAAGTAATGGGAAATCTCAGACCAGTAACCGGCAGATTTAGGAGCCTAGTCTACATCCAGAAACGGTTCTCCATAACCCGAATTCCTGGTCCTGCCCAAGCACCACGGCCATGACAAGAACAGGTAACGGCGTTACACCCCAGTGGTGCCTCTATGTTGGAAACATTGTCACCCAGATATGAAAGCGTAACATGGCTTTGTATAAAGGGCCAGAAACTATCTGCCATTGGGGTCTCCAAGGAGGAGGTTCAGCCGATCCTCAGTGTGCGCAGCCCCCAGCGGGCTGGCTGTCATCTTACCTATTCATTAGCCGCATTCGTTGTGATCGGAGGAAACTGAGCCGCGCGTCACCTTTTTTATCTGATCCTTATTTTTGGGGTCGTCACGCAGGCAGAGAGCGGAGCTGGATGAACTAAGGAAGCAGCTGGAGGATAACTGTACCCTGTCCACCCGCATGCTGAAAGAAGAGTACGAGAAGGGCAAAGAGGAACAAGAGAGGAGGCACCAGGTAACTACCCTATTTCCCCGAAAATAAGACCTAGTTGTGACCATTCCCAGGGCCGGTGGTGGCATAAGGGGGAATTTGAAGAGCCGCGGGAGAGACTCGGCGGTGCCAATGAAGACGGCGCTAGAGGAAGCGAGGCGGCACCGGAGGGAGCAGAGCCGCATAAGCCGATGTTTCCTCTATAGCCCCGCCTCCTGTCACAGGCGGAGTGATACCACATGCACTCCGCCTGTGAGCAATCGATAGTGAAAGGGCGCTTCTCTCATCCTGGCCAGTGATTGGTTACCAAATTGCTCTTGGAAAGGTACGGCGCCCCCTGATTGCCCCGATCACCATATTTTTTACATAAATAAGTGGGGATTGTTGTACATTTAAAAAAAATAAGACCTGCCCCGAAAATAAGACCTAGTGTGTTTTTTTGAGCCCAAACAAATATAAGACAGCGCCTTATTTTCGGGGAAGCGCGGTACCAGTCCCATCAGGAAGGATCACTCCACCCAGACGTGATGGCGCAGTGTGTGTGTGTGTGTGTGGCAGATAAGTTAAACTTGTTTCTTTCATGTCTCTGGGATGCCATTGGTGAGATCTCAGATCCGCAGACCTGTCACCGCCATTACGAGGGGGGGGGGTCCTGCTCCAACTGCTATAGTTGTTTAAAGAGAATGTAGAAGGGGGTGGGGCTTGAGTAAAATACCTAAGAGGTAGCTTTGATATTCTGCTCAAATTTAGAAATCCAAGCTTCCGGGGTCCCCGTCGGCACCACCCTATCCAACATTTCTGAACACTTGTCAGCCAAACAGTGACTGGTGCACTTAGCTGAAGGCTGTTGGTGCCAGCTGTCAGAATACAATAGCCAGCAGGACAGACTCCTCCCCCCCCCCATCCACACTGTTATCAAGTGTTTTTTCCCACAGACCTGAACGCGAAAAGCTACAAGTGTTTGGCCAGCTTTAGACTGTAAGCCTAGACCAGGTTCCTTTCTAAAGAAAATAGGAATTTTGTACTCGCTGAAATATCCTTTTCTTGGTGTCCATTGGAGGGCACAGGTCCCACCCCTCTGTGTATGACCATGCTGTCAGTACTGGCGTGCTACTAAACTGAGGCATGCAGGTAGTGGGAGAGGTTATCATGGGCTGGCCTACAGGTTTTTTTTTGTTTGCCAGTGTCTATTCCTCCTGTAGGCGGCATTATAACTCAAAGGTTTAAGACTTCCTGTGTCCCTCAATGGGCTCCTAGAAAAAGATTTTACAGCGAGTGCAGTGGCGTAACAATCGCCATAGCTACCCAGGCAGCCACCATGGGGCCCGGGCACAGGGGGCCCGGCCAGGGCATCCCCTTTAATGCCGTGTGGGTCGCTATGGCATGTAAGGTTGCTGATTTCCCCTCACAGGCGCTGCGGAGCTGTGTCAGTGAGGCCGGCGTTCGCAGTGAAGGAGGAGGCGGGGCCCGACTAAGAGCAACCCCGCCTCCTTTTACATCACTGGCCAGTGACCTAAGAGCAGACGGGGCCCGTTCATAGAAGAGGAGGCCGGGCCCGGCGACCACCGAGGTGGACATCGCTGACAGGTAAGAGGTGTGCAGCCCATCTGAGACCCTGCAGAGCCCACTATAGAGAGTCTATGGTGGGCTCTGCAGGGTCACTCTCAGGTGGGCCGTTTGGTATATCAGGTAGGCTCTGCAAGTGGCATAACTAGCAATCACGGGGCCCCATACACAATTCTGCTATGGGGCCCTGTGATCTCTAGTTACGCCCCTGAGCGAGTGTAAAGATGAAATGTTTTCCTCTGGCCCCGGACTTCAGTTTTATCGCTACGCTGTGTTTTATTTCTTCCATCTGGATGCATCGCCTCCTCCCTGCCCGAGGCTTTCTATCTATGGAGGTGCTCAGGTGGAACCGATTTAGGTTTCAGGAAGCAATTAACTTTCTGGTGCCAAAACACTGCAATAGTTCTGTTTTAATATTTGTTTTGGAAACAGTACGGGGAAGCAATCGGGTAATAAAGGGAAAGACATTTGTTTTTAAGGTACGTAGATGTCCTGTAGGGCTGGATGACTTGGCTGCACTATGGTTGAGCTCCAGGCTACCGGCTATGTACACAGATGAAATACATACACCGAGTGGCCGGATTATTATATACACTGAGTGGCCGGATTATTATATACACTGAGTGGCCAGATTATTATGACCACCTGACGTTTGTAGGCAAATGAGCTATAATTTGGCGCTGAAGTTGCTAGAGGGCCAGACCATTATAAATAGGGAAGCAGGTTGGTTACCACGACAGTAGAAGTGATTGGGAAGATTCGGGGAAACAACGCGATGTAACAGCCTTGGAACGCGGGATGATTGTTGGCGCTCGGAGCCATGGAGCGAGTATCAGCAAAACAGCAGAATGCGTTACATGTTCAGGAGCGGCTCATTGTTAAAGTGTTTAAAGACCGGACCGTCAGCCGAAAATCTGGGTCTGAATGTGCGAATTGTGGCCGCCAGCGACTAGTCAGTGTTAGGGCAGAACGGGGGAGGGGCAAGACTGGTACAAGACAACAGAAGGGTAACAGTGCCGTGTCAGATTCCTCGCATCACCTTTCATCTCTCGGAGTCACGAGGCGGCCCAACGAAGTACTGATGGGGGGGTCATAATAATCTGGCCACTCACTGACAGCTGATTTACCTGCCAAAAAAAAAAATGACATTTCTGTCCGCCCACTCCTGAGGGCAAGTTCATACCAGCCCCAGTGCGTTCTGGCACAATTCGGTGCCAGGACGCACTGGATCGCATTCCCAGCCAGCTCACTGCGTTCTGAGGCTGGAGGGGGCATGGCGGTGCATTAAAGTCAATGCCACCGCAGCCACGCCCCCCCCAGCCGCACGGCGATCGTACGAACCGGGACGAGTGGCACATCAATGCCTGCATTTCGGTCCTTTGTGGTCAGAAAGAGATAGTACATGCAGCAATTTTCCCGACCACGCCGGACCGGCAAGCACGCATTCCAGTGCGAGTGATCACACTGGGGGGGGGGAGGCGTGGCTACGGTTCCATTGACTTCAATGCACCGCCATGCCCCCTCCTGCCCCAGAATGCGGTGAGCCGACCGGGATACGATCCAGTGCGTTCTGGTGCCGGAACGCACAGGGGCTGGTGTGAACTATTCCTAAAATGTACTCGGCCCTGCCACACAACACGGGCTTGGCTGGCAGGGGAGGGGACCTGATTTTTCTTTGCTGAAGTTCAGTATCACTCACAGGTCTTGTCCCTCCCCCAGCCTGTGACTGGACAGTGAGGTAAGGCCTCGTTTACACGGGTGGTAAAAACAGACGGTTGATCTGTATTTTTACTGCCCCCTGACCCGCCACGTAAAACTTAACATGGCGGCTGCTCGGGTTTGTACACATGCCACGATGCTTTGCGTCACCGCCATGGCAAGCTTTATACAGCGTGTCGCATTTGGCAGGCGGTGGTGCTCACCAAACATGACCATTGCAGTCAATGGGACCATGCTGCAAAAAAAAAAAAAGGGGGCGAGTATTTCTCTATCATCTATTGAGGGACACGGCTCTGGATAATTCGAGACGTAGGGTAGAGGCCGCGGCATAACCCAGCGTCTTGTATTATCCAGAGCTGTGTCCCTCAGTAGACACTGAGAAAAGGATTTAATGGTAAGAACAAAATCTTTTTTTTTTATAAATAGCAATTGTTGTTACATGCAGTACTTTATCCAACCAAGGTAGATGTAAACCCTACTGGATGGTATAGGAGGTGAAGGGTCATTTCTGATCATTTAGCAATCATTAAAGGAGAACTATGAGGGGGTGCTTTTCACTCACCTCATAGTTCTAGCCGACCTGTGACAATGAGACTAGCTTAGCATATTCTTGGTTGGTTGGTTGGCGTTCAGGATATTGCCCAGACTGAGGGGAAAAACACATACCCCATTACCCCATAGTTCTCCTTTTAGGAGCTACCATGAAACGCATAGCTGTCCAATCGGTGGCTTCCATTTCCCTACTGCAAAGATTCCGGATTCTTTGACAGCGAGTAATCAAAACATAAAGAAAGCTCTCAGCTCCCTATAAGAATGGCTCTGAGATATGTCGAACCCGCTCACCCCTTAACGCGCTTGTACTACATCGACTTAACACCGCTGCCGCACGGAGCCGGAGCTTTATTGTTTTGTAACAGTCATAAGATTGATGCCGTTATCTGGTCGCAAAGGAAAAAATAACTGTAACACCTTTTTTATTTATTTATTTTTTTCTGCTCGACTGCAGGCTGAAATCAAAGCTTTGAAAGAGCGTTTAGAGATTGAGAAGCAAGCGTGGGAGCAGAACTACATGAAGAAAGAGGTAAATACAGCCCTGTCTTCCCGAGTGATGGATGTTCTTCTCTTAAAGGGTTAGGCTGCCCGAGAATGATGTTTCAGCGTAGGATGTTGCAATCAGTCTGTCACTGGATATTTGGCCACACTGTAGACTCTCCTTCTGCAGGGCGAGTGCACTTTTATAGGACATTCTGTAATAAAGGGGTTAATGCCGTGGGATTGAGTGCTGACATCATCTGCTAGGCAGAGCGTCATGTGCTCTTTTTCCCACCGTACATTATCAATGAAGAATCCCCCACTGCTGCCCCTGCTTTCAGAGCCACGTGGAATGGGAACTTTGATCTTCAGTCTATTTCTGCTACGAGGGGAGGCCAATAAGTTCTTACCCTCACCATGGCCCAGGTGTGCCAGGGATCTGTAATGTTGCAGGTTTATAGGTGGATATCTTGGTAATATTGTTTTTGTAGGTCGTGGTGAATTATAGTTAGAGCCAAGAGAAATGGAGTGGGTGTCATGCCGGACATAGTTGCATACCGAGCTCATCTTTTGCCACCGCACTTGGTTCTGTGGCAGTCGACGGACGACCTTGCCTCGGGTCATCCTGTATATTTGTGCGACCGCACTTGAATTCTCTCTTCCATCGTTCGACAGTCTCCTATGATGGACAATCCTCTCCATACACCGCTGACATCTCTTCATGGATTATTTGGGCAGATTTCCCTTTTAAGATTGAGGAACCTAATCACGGCTCGGTATTCAACTTTGTCCGGCATGACACCCATTCCATTTCTCTTGGCTCTACTCTAACTATAATTCACCACGAACTACAAAAACATAAATTGGCATATTACTAAGATATCCGCCTATAAACCTGCAAAATGTCAGATCCCTGGCACATCTAGATCATGGTGAGGGTAAGAACTTATTGGCCTCCCCTCGTACTTGCCTATAGTGCCTTCGGTCACTTCTGGCCAGTCTCTGGACACACCGCTTTGTCTATCAATGAGGACTACGTTGTCCCTTGGCGGGAAGTTCTTTCTCCGTGTCATTTGGAGGATACCGGCGGAGAAAAGATTTAACCACAAGGGGCTTTTTTTTTTTTCAGTGAGATCGGTTAAAGTCTGGAACTCGCTGCCAAAAGCAGTGGTATCAGCAGAGAGTATTGAATCATTCAAAAAGCATTTAGATACCTTTCCTCAGAGCTGCAAGACAAGACACAGAGAGCGCCTCCATCGCATAAAAAACCTTTTAATGAACGGATAAAAAGATGGTATAAAGGTACTCACAAAAGTCGAAATAAAAACAGGAATATAAGGGTCAGAACGAGAGGTGCATATCCACCGGCTGTTCGTCTTCCCTGGTAGTGGAGTGATTTACGCGTTTCAGAGGTCACGCCTCCTTCCAGGAACCAGGAAGGAAGGAGGCGTGACCTATGAAATGCGTAAACCACTACGACTACGCTCTCTGTGTCTTGTCTTGCAGCGCTGAGGTTGTTCTGAACCTGGTGAGAGCTGGCCCGTCATTGCCCTGCATTCCGAACATCACCGATTATCACTTTTGAACCAGAATTTGCTGGCGCTGTGTTTGAGTTTGTCTACCTTCCTCAGAGACCGTAACATACAGGGGTGCAGGTACACTTAAAATCAAGGACGCAAAAGGGACTCGTACACACAAAGGTTGGACTTGATGGACCCGTGTCTTTATTCAACCTCAAATACTATGTAACTGCTTATGAATTATAGAATCAAGATAACAAGAAGTTGCGCTAGGAGAAAACACAGTGCGTCCTTAATTACCAGCTGCAGCAATGTGCAATCAAAACCACGGTGAAGTCTATAATATGCTGCGCTTGGTGTGTAAAGCGAAAAAATAAATAAATTAACTGCGTCACCTGTAAAACAACTGTGTATCATATATCAGTAAGTGACCGTGGGTTAATGAATGTGTTCTCTCACATTGTTAATTATTACTTTAACATTCATTAAAGGAGAACTATGGGGTCAGGGCTTTTCCCCATAGTTCTCCTTAGGGTAACGGGAGGACACAAACTAGCGTCCTCCCATCACCCTAGGCTCAGTATATAGGGAGCTGCAGCTCGCGGTATACTGAGACGCCGCAGCCGGAGCGGATCCCGACGTAGATGACGGGATCCGCCCAACTGCGCGAGTGACAGCTGGCTCTGCCTATCTAGAGGCAGAGCCAGCTGTACCCGCCCCCTCCCCCGTCCGCTCCGCCAGTCAGCGCTGGAGGATCGGAGAATGATACACAGTTGTTTTACAGGTGACACAGTTAATTTATTAATTTTTTCGTTTTACACACCAAGCGCAGCATATTATAGACTTCACCGCGCTTATGAATTCTAAACCCAACGCGTCCCATGGATAGCGCTGGTGGCTCAGCAAGTAGTTTTAGCCGAGATTCACCAATTTTCCTAAATCAAGTCACGAACATGATCAACAGTTTCAGGATATGACTCTGTTGAGGGCCTCCCAGCTCTTGCTGTATCTTCGGTCTCCGAATCCCCGTACTGGAATTCGGCGCACCACTTCTTCACAATGTAGCATGACCGGCGCTTGTCACGCGGTGTGTAAATCACACGTTCACGGATTTTCTTCGGAGTTCTCTTCAGCAGAAACAGAATCCTCATGACGGCGAGTTCAACGCTTGAAAACTCCTCACTTTTCATTCCCATGGTTTTGTCGATGATCTGAAAAATAAAAAAACGACAATTAGAGTTACAGTCCTGCCAATCTGCACTTCACAATAAATAGCAACACTCGCTGCTGCGACAATAACAGAATTATGCTGATTTTTGGAAGCGTGTCGGGCCGCGAACTCTTCGTAATTTTGTTGTCTTCATCATTTACAATTAGGGATGCACCGATACCGATGCCTAGCACGAGTACTTCCTGTATCAGGAAGCTGGGCAGCGCATAATTACACGATGCCCGGTTTCCTGATTGGCCGGGAAGTGGCTCCATGCTCTCTCGTCACTTGTGATGAGAGAGCGTGGAGCCGTCTTCCTCGCCAATCTGGAAGCCGGGCAGCGTGTAATGACGCAGCGCCCGGCATTCTGATTGGCCCGGGAAGGTGGCCAATCAGGCTGTCACTTATGATGAGAGAGCGTGGAGCCAACTTCCTGGCCAATCTGGAAGCCGGGCAGCGTGGAATGACGCGCTGCCCAGCTTCCTGATTGGTCGGGAAGCTGGCCGATCAGGAAGCCGGGCGCCGTGTAATGACGCAGCGCCCGGCATTCTGATTGGCTGGGAAGCCGGCTTCATGCTCCCTCGTCATCTCATGACGAGGGAGCATGGAGCCGTCCTCCCGGCCAATCAGAAAGCAGGGCGTCTTGTCATTACACGGCGCCCGGCTTCCTGATTGGCCGGCCAGACGGCTCCGGCTGGGTACCGGAGGAAGGCCGCGTTCTGGCTGGAGAGGCCCCCGGGGGTGACAGGCTGGACATACTAAGGTAAGAGGGGACTTGTTAATCGGGAAGCCAGGTGGCGAGCCATTGCACACCACCTGGCTTCCTGAATGGGACTTCCGTTACTCGGTAATTGGTATCGGCGAGTACCGGAAAAAAATTATCGGTACTCGGTACCAAAATACCGGTATCGGTGCATCCCTTTTTACAATGTAACCACACTGATTAGATTGATATTGTACTGACATGCATATTCACAGACTGCTTTTAATGGTCCGGTTCAGGAACTTTTTTTTTTCTAACCCCCCCCCCCCCCCGCTTTTCCGCCAGGAACCCTGGCTTCGGCCC